TTCGATGCGTCATTCCTACTTGGTAATGGCCCTCAGCAATTCACAGTTTCAATAAAATTATTGGAACAAGACCCTTTAAACTTATCTTACTTCTATATTTGTCTCATCTCCATGCTAAGTTCATAGATATGGAAGAAAAAAAATACCATGACACACAAAAACTCCTATCATAATAGTGACAACAATGATTTTGATACCAGCTAGCATTTACTGACTTCTTCCCCATGCTCCAAAAACATGATTTTATACATTTAATCTTCCTATTTAATCCTCGCCATAACCCTAAAGAAAAACACTATCCCATTTCACAGGTAAGGAAGCCAGATTTCAGAGGGGTTGAATATTTGGTCATTGTGACACAGAAGGAAACTGATCAGGGCTGAAGGACTTCCCTTTAACATGGTCACAAATTAAGTCAGTGTGATGAGATTACTAAAGCAGAAAATCATACCAACAAAAGAAAAGCAATGGTGCAAAAAGAAAAGTTATCAAACGTAAATAATGTGGATCAATGACCTAAATATAAAAGCTAACATCATAAAACTCTTAGGAAAAAAAAAACAGGGGTAAATCTTGATGACCTTGAATTTAGCAGGTTGTTTTTAGATATGACACCAAAAGCATAAGCGACCAAAGGGGAAAAAATAAATAGGACATCATCAAAATTTTAGAAAATTTTATGCATCAAAAGACATGACCAAGAGAATAAAAAGACAATCTAAAGAATGAGAGAGAATATTTGAGAATTATATAGCTGATAGAGGTTTAATAGCCAGAACAAATAAGGAATTGTAGAACTCCTACAAATCAACAACAAAAAGACAAACAACCCCACTAAAAATATGAGCAAAGGACTTAGAAAGACATTTTTTAAAGATATGCATACAAATGGATAACAAAGCACATGAAAAGATGCTCATCAGTCATAAGTCATTAAAAGCAAATCAAACCACAAGGAGATACTACATACCTACTAGTGTGTCTGTCCATAGTAATATAAATTTTTAACAGAAAATTTAAAATGTTGATGGGAATATAGAGAAATTAAAATCCTGGTACTATGCTGGTAGAAATATAAAATGATGAGACTACTGTGGAAAAGTTTGGTGGTTCCTCAAAAAAGTTAAACCCAGGATTGCCATATGTCCAAACAATTCCACTCCTACATATATACCCAAAATAATTAGAACAGGGATGCAAACAGATAGTTGCATACTGGTATCATTGTATGATTTATCTCAGCAGCCAAAAGAGTTGAAAGCAGCCTAATGTCCACTGATGGATAAATGGGTAAACAGATACACAATACTCATCCAAAGGAACATTATTTATCCATAAAAATGATATAGAAAAAATTATAAAATGATATACTTAAAATTAGTATGCTAAGTGAAGTAACTCATGCACCAAAAGATATTTATTGTATGAGTACACTTATGTGAAGTACCTAGAATGGTCAAATTCATAGAGACAGAGAGGAAAATACAGATTACCAGAGGCTGGAGGGAAGGAGAAGAGAGCTGTTGATTAATGGATACAGAGTTTCTGTTTGAGATGATGGAAAAATTCTGGAAATGAATACTGGTGATAGTTTTTAAATGTTGTAAGTATAAGTAACACCATTGAACTGTACATTTAAAAATGACTAAGATGGTAAATTTTTATTATATATATATGCTATATCCCTCTCAAAAAAAAAAAGTATGATTTTTCCTTCCTTAAGCCACTTACAACTTGTATCTGCATCTGCAGACCAGATAACTCTCATGAGTTCCAGATGTGAGTTTTCTGCTGACTCCTCAAACTGAGTGTCCAATATTGACGTCATTGCTTAACCACAGCCAAGTTCCTCTTCCACTGGGAAAATCCATTCCTTGTTCTTTTTCCTATAGGCTTTGTCTCTACAACCATCCATTAAGCTCAGATCATCTTTGATTCTTTCTTCCTCACTCCTGCAACCAGTCAGCCCCCAAGTTTTTATTTTGTTTTATTTTGTTTTTCTCAAGCCTAGTTTTTAGATATTTCTTAGATTTTCTTCCTCTTTTCCATCCCTCAGGTCACAGTTTTCGTTTGAGACCTCATCCTCCCACTCCTATCTGGACCATTAGCATAACTTCCTGGTTGGTCTATCTGCCTAAGTTCCTCCTGCAGTTATCCCTCCTTCCACAATCCATCTGCAGAGGAATCACTAGCATTTTCTTACATCACAAATCTGATCGTGCTCCCTTCTTCCCTTAAAACATTCCTTCCTGCCCCTTACGATGGAGTCCAAACTCCCTGGCATGCAAGGCTGACTCTCAACAACTTGACCCCTAGGAGCTTTCCGGCTCCCCACTGCCCATGACCCCAGCTACCTAACTGCTCTCTCAGCTCCATCCAAGCATTTTTGTTTTTTCATGTCCCCAGTTTGCACTAAGGACTCACCCTCGGTGTTGCACAAGAATCCTCCATGCTCTACCTATTTCTTCCTCATCCTCCTCACACCATCCTTTCCTGCAACCATTGAGCCATCTCCATAATTTTGACTTTTCTAGAATGTCATATAGTTGGAATCATGCAGTATTTCACCTTGTCAGGCTGCCTTTGTTGACTTAGTCTTTGCATGGCTTGGTATCTCATTTCTTTTTAGTGCTAAGTAATATTTCATTGTCTGGATGTACCATGGTTTTTATCTATCCACCTACTGAAAGATATCTTAGTTACTTGGCAATTATGAATAAAGCTGCTATAAACAGCCACATGCAGGTTTTTGTGTTGGCATACATTTTCATCTTCTTTGGGTTATGTGGATTATACGGTAAGAAGAGATTAAGTTTTCTAAGGATCTGGAGGAGAGAAAAGGAGCAAGAAAAGATACTTGAGAATTAAATTGACCAAATGACATTGTTACATTGTATACAAGGACAAATATCTAACAATGAATTGTGCTATTATATATAATTATAATGCACTAATTTTTAAAAAGAAAGAAAAAGAAACTGTCAAACTGTCTTTCAAAGTGGCTATACCATTTTACATTCCCACCAGTGCATCTGCATTTGGTGTTGCCCATGTTCTGCAATTTGGCCATTCTAGTAACCAAATAGTAGCATCTTATGGTTTTAGTGTACATTTCCCTGATGACATATAATGTAGAGCATCTTCTCATATTCTTATTTACTATTTGTCTATCTGTAGGAGATATCTGTCATGGTCTTTGGCATATTTTTTCATTGATGCATTATAATTATATATAATGGGATTTGCTGTTACATATTCATACAAGCACACAGAATAATTGGTCAGTTATATTCCCCAGTTCCTCCCCATTCCCTCCCCTCTTCCCTTCCTCTTGTCCCCTTCCTCTACTTTACAGGTTTCCCTTCTATTTTCATGAGATCACCTACACACACTTATTTTCCCCTTTATTTCTCTAGATTCCACATATGAGAGAAAACATATGACCCTTGACTTTCTGAGTCTAGTTTTCTAGTTCCATACATTTTCCTGCAAATGACATAATTTTATTCTTTATGGCTGAATAAAACCCCATTTTGTATATATACTACATTTTCTTTATCCATTCATCTGTTGACAGACACCTAGACTGGTTCCATAATTTGACCATTGTGAACTGTGCTACTATAAACTTGAGTTTGCATGTATCATTATAGCATGCTGACTTTAATTCTTTAGGATAAATACCAAAGAGTGGTGTAGCTGGATCATATGGTGGTTCCATTCCTATACTTTTGAGGAACATCCATACTGATTGCCATAGTGGTCATACTAATTTACAATCCACCAACAAGGTATTTTTAAATATATCTGCGTCATTAAATTTTTAAATCCTAGCATATTTGAGGTATCTCCCATGATGTATTTTAGTCATAAGCCATAGTGCTCTCTAAGAAATATAAAATACAATGAGGAAAACAGACCTATTACAAAATAAGTAGGCTGTGTTGTGATAGAAAAAGCACTGGACTGGGAGTATTAACTACTATTAACTAGCTGTGTGACTTTGGGGACATAAATTAATCTGTCCTCAATCTTGGCTTCAATTTAATCTTTGGTAAAAATTAAGTACATGGGTCAGAATCTCAAGACAGTGGTTCTTTAATCTTTACATATAGATAATTTTTATGTGTATTGAGGTCCAACACAGCCCTACCTGTAACTGCATAGGAGTTGGAGTCAGAGAGATTGGAAAAAAAGAATTGAACAAAATAACTTCCAACTTGATCAAGTTCAACTAGCAGCTTTGGAGAAAACTGCTAGTACAAAGTAAGGTGCAAGGTAAGTGGGGCAGATGAACAAGTCAAGCCCACGCTTGAAGATTTTTTTGTTTGGTGTTTTTCATGTAATTCAAGAGAAGCAGTGTTAACCACGAAGAAAAGAAATAACCTACTTAAAAGTACACCTAAAGAAGGGATTTTTCACTGCTTGACTGAGCTATTGGAAGGTGAGGCCATAAAACACAGCTCTATGGTGGCCAACAACCATCATAATACCGCCTTCCCATCTGCCACTGCTATCATCCTCCTCCTCTATAAAGAACCAGGGGATGTTGGTGATGTTCTGTTTCTTGACTTTGGTGATTGTTACAGTATTGGCTTAATAATATCGATTATTTATAATCTTGTGCACTCTTCTATACATTTCAATTTTTTGAAAAATCCTTTTAATATACATGATAAAATAATATCCTAAATGATGAACCCCAAATTTTTTAAATTGAGAAAGCCTGGTGAGTAATAATTTGATTCTGGCAAATAAAATGAGTTTTCTCATGGGTTCAATTTATATAGCAGACAGAAAAGAAAAATAAATACATCACGCTCCTCTTGCCAATAAGGACACAGTACTTCCTCATTGTCGTTAATGAAGAATAGCACATACTTTCTGAAAAGAAAGAAAACATTCAAATGAGTCACCTATTACCACATCCAGGGTTGAATAGCTATATAAATTTCTCCAGCCTCTGGCAGAAAACATCAAACCAACCACAGGTCTGAGAACAGTCATCTCTTGCTGGCAGTTATGAAGTTGCCTCTGCTGTGGGCTGTGTGTCTGCTGTCTGGACACCTAGCCCTGCCACTGCCCCCAGAGGCGGGAGGCATGAGTGAGCTGCAGTGGGAACAGGCTCAGGTATGTCACGGTCCACTCACCTGGATTCAATGGTCTTGCTGTCAGCATTAGAAGTGTTTTTCAATTATTTCTCCTTCCATATTATATTGCAATGAGTTTTCTCATAATATTTTTTAATAAAAGGAATATATGCTTTTATCAAGTAACCATTCAAAACAGGCTTTAAAGCTTATCCAAACTGGGTTTGAGTTCCAACTCCTCCACTCACAATGTAGATGAACCTCAAAATGTCATTTAACTTCTCTGATCTTTAGTTTTCCAATTTGGAAGTTGGAGATAATAATATCAGCAAGTAGGGTGTTATAAAGCATTTAACACAGTACCTGGAACATTACTGATGCTCAATAAATTGAAGATTTATTATTTTTTATTGCAACTTGAAATTCTTTTCATAAATGATATAGAATGCAGCATCTCAAGATAAGAATTACTTGTTGAATTCAGAAAATATGGGTAGAGGTTACGGCTTTGCCATAAGCTGATGACAATAGGCAAGGCAATAACTCCTGGATTTGTTTTCTCATGGGTCCAATGGAAATAATAAGACTATATGTTTTATACCTCGCAGAATTAGTCTAGTGAATAATAATTTCCAATTATAGAGCACTTCCATATACACTACATCATTTATTCCTTAGCTTTTTTCTAAAAACAAGGAGAAAGCAAAGTTAAGTTGATTCCCATTCAACTTAGAATAGTAGTAGATTCTTAGTGGTAGAGATAAGAATCAAGGACAAGTTTTTCTATAAAAATGATGTTCCTTCTAATATATTACTTAATAAGCAGTCTAATAAGTATTAAAAATATTATTTGGCAAAATAGTACATGATTACTTTTAAGCATTGTTTATAAATTTAAGCCTTAAGCATAAGAAAAATCAAATTTTGCTTCACATGAACTTGGATTTTTTTAAAAGTCCAATAATATATTAGATTAAACCATATGAAATTACTGATATTTAATAGTTTTTTAATCTCTCAAATAGCAGTTTTTATAGCAATTTCTGTCTACCTAATGAATTCTCCCAAAGGAATTGATTTTCAAGAATATTCAGTTCCTTTATTTAACACACAGGCTGTCAAAACTAAAAGGAGTTTAGCTAGGTTTAATGCATAGCAGGAAAGGTCATCTCAAGAATGCAGAGGTGCTTCTTCCATGAGTATCTTTATAAAGTCTGTGGCTCTAGAAGGGATAAAAGGATATTTGCTTTTAAATAAGAAATTAATTCATAATTGTCATGAATTAATTAATAAGTATTTGTTGTATTGAATGACACACAATTATTGGTAACAGATATAGAGAGCACAATATTGATAAGTTTTCTTAAGCAAAATTCATACTCCTGAGAGATCTCAGACAAGTGACCAGTACCATCCACTCCAATATTGATAGCAAATCACTGAACCAATGTTTAAATCATTTCAACAAAAATATTATCATACATCAGCTAAGCCTACTCATTTCATCTATGTTTGTGTACACACATGCACACATGCATAACATACTGGGGACTGAACCCAGGGATGCTCTACCACTGAACCACATCCCCAACCCTTTTTATTTTGAGACAGGATCTTGCTAAATTGCTGAGGCTGGCCTCAAACTTGTAATCCTCCTGCCTCAGCCTTCCAAGTCACTGGGAATATAGGCATGCATTATTGTTCCTGGTCACCTATACATTTTTCTAATGAAATGGTTTTGGAATCAGAACACAGTCTCCTTCAGAGTGACTTTATATTTATTTTATTTTTACAAGCCATGTTTCATCATATGTAAAATAAAGATAACTGCCATGCCTGCTTCACAGGATGTTCAAGCTGTAATTAAAATAAATGGCTCCAGTAAGTACTTTAAAATGTTCTTTTGAGTTTGCTGCTGCTTTTAGTGCATTCCTTTTTTTTTTTCCTGTTAGATTCCCATCTTCATTTGCAAACACTAGAAAACTTTAAGAAATTCCCAGGGACCCAGTTTACATGGGATAGATCTGGGAGATCTGCTTTATCTAACAGCCTCTCAAAGAGGTTGTAGTAGGGATTTAAAAGAGAGAAAGAGAGACTAGAGGGTGGAAAGAGTGGAGAGAGGGAAAAGAGGTACTGGGAGGCAGGAAATTCAGGCTCAATTCTGCTACTAACATATCGTGTGAAACCAGGAAAATCATTTGGATGTTATGAGCTTTGGTTTCTTCATCTGGACAATTAATTCAATTAATAAACTAATAATCTCCTAAATATTTTCCCAGACTAAATTGTTAAGACCCTTTAACCTTTAGCTGGTACCAGACCTCAGCAGGATCTTTGATGGGCAGGGGTCTTCAGATCTCCCCAAAGGGTCCATGGTGCTAAAGGAGGTTTTGGTGTGCCTCTTGAGATCACGCTAGGATATTCTTCCTGAAAGTTCCAAAAACAAGTCTATGTTATATAAAGTGTTCAGTATGTTTTCCTCAAAACATTTAAGGTGGAAAAAAAGAGAAACTGGGAGATTTTTCTCCTGGATGGCACACTTGTGTTTCATTATCAATATTAAATTTTCTCTTTATTAGCGCATACTTATTGTACTCAGTGACTATATAATTGTTCTATCTTGAAACCACTATTTAAATCCACAAGAACCAGAGGCAGGGCTGGGGTTGTGGCTCAGTGGTAGAGCACTTGCCTTGCACATGTGAGGCACTAAGTTCGATCCTCAGCACCACATAAAAATAAATAAATAAATAAAGGTATTGGGTTTATCTGTAACTAAAAAATTTTTTAAAAAAAAAAAGAGGCAAAAGAAGTGCAAATTTCTAAAATAAAAAAAGACAATAACAAGAACTACAAATTATTTACTCTCTTTTCAATAGCACTATCTCAAGAGATTTTATCTTCATGACTCAAAAGAAAAGGATGACAATAGTTTAGAATTCAAACTCAAGGAGATGCAAAAGTTCTTTGGCCTGCCTGTAACTGGAAGGTTGAACTCCCATATCATAGAAATAATGCAGAAGCCCAGATGTGGAGTGCCAGATGTTGCAGAATACTCACTATTCCCAAAGAGGCAAAAATGGACTTCCAGAATAGTCACCTACAGGTCAGTTTTGTTTTGGCTCATTTTGACAAAAACAATTGATAAAGCCTTTGTCCTAACAGGTCAAATTTTTTTTTATATTGTTTGCTACTAGGATCCTATCGTACACTTCAGACTTAACACCTGCTGTAGTGGATCAAATAGTTGCAAAGGCTTTTAGCATGTGGAGCAGGCACATCCCGCTTCGTTTCAAGAGAGTTAGGATGGGAACTGCTGATATCATGATTGGCTTTGCAAGAGGAGGTAAGAATAAGTCCTATAGGCTAATCCCATGTGCTATTTTATTTATTGGTTATTTATACAAGTGCTCTCTGTTTCTAAAAATGTAAACCCTTTGATAAGGAGTGGGGATGTAGCTCAGTGGTAAAGCATGTGCAAGGTCTTGGGTTCAATCTCCAGCATCACAATAAAAGAAAAAAAAACCTTTAATGAGATATTTTGCAATTTTTCTAGTTTGTTAAATTAAAGTCACTTTTTATGCAGGAATTGGCAAACTATTACTCATGATCCCAATCCAGCCCAACATGTGTGTGTGTATGGTTTTTTTTAACCAAGTTTTATGGAACACAGCCATGCTCCTTCACTTAACTATTGTCTTATAATCACTTTCAGACAGGCTACAATTGTGACAGCATCCATAAAGTGCACAGCACTTAAATTACCTGTTATCAGGCCCTTCTTAGAAAACATTTGCCAACCCCTCTTTTATAGTATGAATCTTTACATATATAATCTTCTTGTAGCATGAATTATTAAAGGACTTGTAGAGATATAATGCATTTACATGAACTGCTCTTAATTAATAGGGTTTCATGGTGCAAATTTAGAAAAATATTTTCCATTTTGGTCTTCTCTAATATTGAACTGCCAGGGTACTATGAATTTAGCTGTACCTTGAACTTGAGCCCATAATATCAACAACATTGAAGAAAATGTTAGGGAAAGCAGTGATAACAGCACTACAAGTTTATCAAGAACTGGATGAGCCAGGTATAACCTGACACTCATCTAAAGATAAATAACTCTGACTCACAAATAAAAGGACTATCAAAATCTTTTTTAACAGACTTTGAGTATAGTTCTCCAACACTATCTAGTATGCTCCCCAAAAAAATAGCTTTTTAAGAAAAATGTACATGAAATGATACACAAATTACCCATCAAATGCAAAGCTCACATTCATGCTCCCTCCCATCTCCATTTGGTCAAGCAAAGTGATAAAATTTAACAAACACTTAAATGCAATCATAAGTTAGATATAAATATGTTTAAAATACTATATCCTATAAACCTTTACTGTGTGGTGGTTATTGGTGATGAGCAGTGGTTCTGTGAAAAAAAAGTGCCTTTACTGAATAAGCAACTAAATGCATCTGGTTTCTGCTACCAACAATGTGGACCATTTGGAATGGGCTGTTCTTTCCAGTCTCAATAATCGTGTAAACTAAAAAGATGAAATGACTAGGAAAAAATCCCAGTCACTAAGGAAAGTCACTCAATTTTCTTGCAGCTCATGGGGACTTCCTCCCCTTTGACGGACCAGGAAACACTCTGGCTCATGCCTTTGCACCTGGGCCAGGCCTAGGAGGAGATGCTCACTTTGATAAAGATGAACTCTGGACTGATGGCAACGGTCTAGGTACAGAGTCCCGTGTCCCTTGTACTGTACCTCCTTCAACTTTCAGACTTACTCTAACATTCATCTGATACTTGCTTTAATTTATGATATCTATCAAGAACTTAAATGACAACCACTGTCCTATATGCTTTAGATGTTTTATCTCATTCAATATATTCATAATATTACAAGTACTAAAGATGGAAACTCTGGCTATGGAGTCAAGCAGTGTCAGGTTCAATTTGTTTTACCTCTATCTTTCTTGCTGGGTGTCTTTAAGTTATTTAATGTCTCTGAGCCTCAGTTTTCTCTTCTATGAAATAGGACTAGTAATAGTTTCCACCTGAGGATTATTTAAATTAAATGAAAAAATGATTGTACAATGCTTAGCACAGTGCTTGGAATATATCAAAAATTCAATGAATTTTAGCTCTTCATATTTCTCAAAAGTAAGTGTCTCGAATAAAAAAGAGGAACAAAGACTACAATATTTTAAAATTATATGCAATTCTGGGATTATTCACTATTGTATGAAAAGAAGAAGCTCCATGACTTAACCCATCATAATTCATCATTTTACAATGTGAAAGATTATGGACACATCTCAGAACTAATGGAGTGGAGCTCTGACATAAATAATCCTCAGAGAAAACAATCCTTTAAAAGAAATGGCTAGTAACTGGCACTGGAAGTGAAATTAATACTTGTATTTGCCTATGGGAATTTACCACAGTTGAGCAAAGCAGTGAAAATCTAACCTCTGTAACATGGTGAGGCTGCCTTCCTGCCACATCTTGCACATCTTCATTCTTCTTTCTTCCCACTCATGGTAAGTAAAGACAGCTTCCTTCAATCTAATGCAACACAGATCAAGCTCTGGTGACTCCTCAAATTCACAGGTTCACTCTTTCCCCCAACTTGCAAAGCATTCTAAGTATTTGAGAGAGATTCAATTATCATCTCATATGATTTATATACAATCTATATCACATATCATTCATACACACACACACACACACACACACACACGCACGCACGCACGCACGCACAATTTTATGAATCAAGATCAGAAACAAAACTCAGCAATGCCTGGAGATAACTGTCTTTGGTCTTGACATTCTCAAAACTAACCTTCTCTATCCTAACATTCAAAGTCGTAATAATTTGTTGAATAGCCATTATTTTTCAGATATTGGGAAAGTCTAATTATCTTGGCAAATCTATAGAGTAGGAATTATTATCTATGTTTAATAGATTAAGAAGTGAGGCCGAGCAGAATCAACTGATTTGTCCAAAGCTGTCCAGTCAGTTAAGTAGCAAAGCTATGTCAGAAATGCAGGTCTTAATGCTTTTAAAGTCTTTGCTTTCCACAATAGAATATCACTGCAGGTGATTATATAAGAAGCAAATAGGCAGAAAAACATTACTTTTCTTTAATAAGCAGAAGTGGTAATATTAAGAACTACTATGCAGAATCTCCTTCTCACCCCTTCCCAGTCTTCAAGGCCTAGAAGCGAATAAGTAAGCTATGGAGGATTGAGAGTTGGGTGTTTTTATAGTTACTTTATTTTTATTATTATATATTAGGTATTTACATGCTTATTTTAATAGTTACTCTATGTTACCTCTTTGGTTGTAGGAATTCACTTCCTATATGCTGCGACTCATGAATTTGGCCATTCTTTGGGCTTGGGTCATTCCTCTGATCCTAGAGCTGTGATGTATCCAACCTATAGAACTGAAGATTCCCAAAGTTTCAGACTTTCACAGGATGATATTGAAGGCATTCAGAAGTTATATGGTAATATTTATGGTTTTAAATAAGGGGGATTTCATATTTTCCCCTTAGAATAGGCTTGGAAGAAAGAGACTGAGAAATGGGCATTTACCTGGAAAACCACACTGTAACTTATATCTAAAAGTCTACTGAAAAGAAAAACTGGACCTTATATACTCAGAATGTGACTAGACTTTTTTATACTAGCCATTTCTTTTATTACTTTATAGTGATCCTCGTTTTAGTTTTAAGCTTCAGTAATACAGCATCTTATGGTGAAATTATGACAATGACACTACCAAGGTTCTTTTCAAGCTGTCACCCACTCTTCTTCCTGGCTCAGTTCAAACTCTTTAGGAGTGTCTCCCATGGAGTAGACTGGAAGAACATGACACCATGCTCCACAGCTGCCCAGTGCCAAGGATTTGCCACTAGGTGATCAACAGTGACCCATTTTTCCTGTTTACATACACATGTAGGGAAAGTAATTAACCATGGACAGCCACTACTAATAATTAGTCAAGAAGATTATGAATATCTCACGTCCCAATATATACTTTTTTATTCAAATTAAGCTCCAAATTCAGATTTAAAATATGCCGATTTGTATTTACTTGATGAAGTCAGTTAGAAATAGTATTCAGGAAAGGATTCAAAGGACAAGGATAGAAATTCATGCTTCTGGATAAAAATGAGGAGGAAAAAAAGAGTCCAAAGATGCTAAGTGACTTGTTCAAAATCATGTGGCTGTCAAGTGCTTGAACAATGATTCCACGTCAGAGCTATATGATTTCATACCCTACCATACATGCCT